TCAATGGTTGTCAAATGTGTAATGTAGACTCTGACTTTCAACCCTAGATGTAAAGGTATGTCTTGTATTTGAAACCTTATATTATTAATCCATTTCCTAGGTTACTAAGAATCCTTTTGATCAATTACAAGTGTTATGAAATAAGAAAATGTCCATTTCAATGAAAATTTTCTTACTCTAAACCTAAACTTTCCCAGTTTTTTTCATACTGCCTCCACTTTACGTGATTAGCCTCCAGGATTAAGGGATAAATTCGCTAAGTGATGAGTATGTGTCCATACAAAGTTATGCAATATTGTCGGTTAACAGTTATCTTAGTCCATGTGGCCAGTATTAGCAGGAAGTTGAATATAGAGTCTCAGGAGAAAAGTCTGGGTTGGATAAACTGATTTTGTCTAGCACAGTCTGATACACAGTAGGCATCCAGTGAATGAGTAAATAAATGAAATGTAAATTTGGAAGCTCTGGCAAATGTAACTGAAGGTATATCCTACCAGTATTTTTCTATATCTGTGTATCTTTAAAAGCAGAATTAGGAATCAGTTTCATAATGTTCTTTGAAAATTATGTTTATTGCTATTTTATTTTTGAAAAATTAGTATCACTTTGTAGTAGAATATTTAGAAAGTAGTTATGAAATGCCACCTTGTGACCAAAGACAGAAGTACAGAATTTCACACAAGAGAGAGTGACCCAGAGAGGGGAAGCTTCTCAGCCAGTACCCTCAGAGGTCTAACACTTATACCAGGTTCTTCTCAGAAGTAAGATGGAACAGAATGCAAAGAACTGGAAGAGCCATAAGGCCCTATCTCAGCTAAAGAGATAGGAGAAACAGAATTATACTACTTTCACCTTTATGATCCTTTTCTAATTATAAAAAATCCATATGCTCATTGATACAGTTAAAACTGGAAATACAGAGAACAAAGAGGAAGCTATAAATTTTCCATAATAATGCCACTTAGAAGTATTTTGATATTTCTCTTTAACTTCTGTGTGTGTGTGTGTGTGTGTGTGTGTGTGTGTGTGTTGCAGCTGGCTTTTTCATGAAACAGTATGATGGTCAGAAATACCTTTCCATGTCAGTGAGATGTTTCTACATCATATTTTGTAATTCATGAAAGAAAGACTTTCCTCATGATTTCAAATTTTAAGGCAGGTAGCTAAATAACATGGAAATGTAAAAAGGGAAATTTTCTCGTTCTACAATTCACACATGCCACCAGAGTGCATAAATGCTGGAAATGTATATGGAATTCAATTATTTATTTTATAATTCTAAATGAATGACAGTTATTCCATTTAGTTTACGCACTATTTGCTTCTTTTATGCAAGGGATGAGGTTGAATGAAAGGAACAAGAATAGACTTTTGCTTTGGAAGGGTGATATGGAGTCAAGGAAGCACAGACTTTCTGAGTTTGTATTTGAGTATTATCTCAGCATCACCGGATGATGATGATGATGATGATGATGATTTTGATAATGATGATCAAAGATCTAACGTTCTATGAGGGCCTGTTGTAAGCCAGGAATTTCATAGTTTTCTGCACCTACTTCCCACAACAGTCTTGTGGGTTTATGTAGAGTCATACTCATTTTAGAGATGAATGGACCACTCTGGGCTCACACTTTTTATACATAGAGAATCCAATTCTAGCCACTGCTTTTCCATTATACTGGCCTCATTTTTCAGATGATAGGTTTCCAGGGCTTGCTCATTGATCATTAGAAATCTTCACAGTATGTGGCCTGTACCCGACAGGAATCCACTGAGTATTCACTCAATACCATCCCTTGATGATGATAATGACATTGATGATGATGATGATGATGATGATGATAACAGCAGTGATGGTGATGGAGAGGAAATTTCCTCTTTGGTCTAAGAGTTCCATTTCCAGAGAGCCCATGAATGGTCTAGTTTCAAAGATAATAGGTGTCCTCCAAGAAAAAATGATAAGTGATTAATGCAATGTTACACGCTGTAAGGGAAAGAGCCCAGCTTGGAACCCAAGTTTTTTCTGACTCCAAGGCCATACACTTAACCACTTTGCATTCCTAAACCCAAGAACTTGAATTTTATCTTCACCTTATTGACCAACCAGTTTTTCAGGATATGAAAAATAAAAAGTGGTAATAATTCCTCAGATAACAGACCAAAAAAGCAACGGTAACAATTGTTTCCTCTACCATCAATGCCTTCAAATGCATCTTCATACCAACTTATGACTTAACTCCTCTGGCCCCCAAGTTGGGGGCTGAGCCCACAGTGCAAGTATGTTGTTCAAACAGGAGGTGACACCCCTTTTCTCCTGAACTGTAGGATCTACATACTCTTGTAAGCTTCCTTTACCTGGGGTTTCCTATATCCCTGAGCCAGCGCTGATACAGACATCAGAAGCACTGCACCAGACACACACAGAGTTATTGCAGAACCACACCAACAGGCCCAGACACAACCGAGGCCTTCTGGGAGTCTGAGCAAGCTGGATAGTAGGAGAATGATAGAGGTCTTGCCTGAAATCTATACCCATTTTCATCCCAATTGTTTTGGGAGCTACTTCACTGGATTCTGAAAGAAAAGTCAACCTCTTCAGCTTTATCTCCAAGTTACCTGGCCAAACCCAGTTCAGACAATTGCATAGACAAAGATGATCATAAACCAATGTTTCTGGTTATGAATCTTTGGGGCTTTATCTCATCCCATACACAAAGTTCCTTAAAAGAGAAGGGGAGAAGGAAGCAAAGGTAAACTGCTCTGATCTGCAATGAGGACAGATGTTGTCCTCCAAGTATGTCCAGGGCAGCCCAGCCATCATCTTAAGAGAGTCTGTGCCTGGGGCGCCTGGGTGGCGCAGTCGGTTAAGCGTCCGACTTCAGCCAGGTCACGATCTCGCGGTCCGTGAGTTCGAGCCCCACGTCAGGCTCTGGGCTGATGGCTCGGAGCCTGGAGCCTGTTTCCGATTCTGTGTCTCCCTCTCTCTCTGCCCCTCCCCCGTTCATGCTCTGTCTCTCTCTGTCCCAAAAATAATAAATAAACGTTAAAAAAAAAATTAAAAAAAAAAAGAGTCTGTGCCTGCTGCAGGCTGGAACAGAGAAATCATAGTCAGAGCCACCCTCAGGAGGAGTGACTTGGGTGAGCACAGCCAACTCTACCTCAGTGACTACCTGAGCACAGCCCCTCTGAGAACCAGGAGAATGGATTTACCCTGTCTTGTAGAACTGGTGCAATGAGGACATAGTTCATCTCACTCCAACCAGAGTAGAGCCCAACTAGCATCCATCCAGCTGTTGCAACTTTGAAGAATAGTTTGGAGACATGAAGATCCCCCCAAATTATATCACAATGAAAAAATGAAAACAAAGCCAAAAAGCATAGGACTGGCTAACCATTTTGTGTGCTGATCACAAAAAGGGAACCTGAATATATTTAACTCATATTAGGAGTGAATGCATGGCCAAACATGGTGTTCAGTCAAGAAAAAATGTATCTAATATTACATTTCTTCCCTTGTCTTTTTATCTTGTATTTCATTATTAAGGGGAATCTTTTAAATTTTATGTATAAATCTGTCAATCTTTTCATAGTTCATACTTAAAAATATAAATACTGTTGTAGACCTCTCTGAATTTCAATAAAATTCATCCATATTGTCTCCTAATTATTTTAGGGTTCATATTTGAAACAATGTAAAGCATACTGTATATACCAGTATCCTCATGCTTCAGTGTGTATCATAATCCCCTAGAGGAACTTGCTGTTACTTTTACAGCCCACTTCCAGTCAATGAGTCTTAGGTCAGCCCCAGAAATCATTATTTTAAAGATGCTCTCCAAGGTGATTCTAATGCAGGTGATTATGCAAGACTTTGAGAAAACATTTGGAGTGCAATCTACATCATGCATTTTCGTTTTGGAATTGCTTGCCATGATACTAGAGAAATAAAAAGATTTGTTGAAGACTATTGAGTCGATAGCAGAATTTGGACAACACCAGCTCCTTAGTAATAATCAAGAAATCAATTAAATATTAAAACATGATGTCTCAGTTAAACACAAGTATGTGAGGCTGTCAGGAAGAATAGTTTTTGTTCTGTAGGGGAAATAAAATTCTGAACATTTACATAGTAGCCTTTCTATTAGTGCATTTATACAGTTCAAGTCTTTTTTTCTTTTTTCACGTTTCAACTGGGGATGGGATGGGGTGAAGGAAACTATTCCCTTAGATCGGTTTCCTGCATTGTTTTGTGCAATTTATGCATATTCAGTCTTCTGAACCAGTAGGACGAGCCTGCCAGGCGCCTTCAGGGAGAGATTATCTCACAAGAGAAGGAAGACAAAACTTTAGTTAGTCCTTAGACTTAAAGCAGCAACTCTGACTACAGCACTTTTTTTACTCAAACTTATACCTTGGTCCTACTCCCAAAATAACCTCATCATGTCTGACTCCTAGTTAGAGGAAGGGTCCTGGGATTAAAAACAAAAGGAGCTGTTTTGCTAAAAACTCTGCAAGACACTGTGGCTCAAGCAATCCTAGAGCAGTCCCACCTGTGTTAGGGGTCACTCTAAAGCAGACAGGCTTCAGAAAAGAATGGAGGTTCAACCCAGTAAGGACTCCAGGAAATTGAGTGGGATTTGGCACCCAAGCACACCAATGTGTCAGGAGCAGTGAGGGCCAGGAGAGAGTAAAGGACCCAGCAGAAGAAGTAGCAGTGCCCACCAGGCATGGCAGAACCCAGGGGAGGAGTGGGGTTCAATAGCAGATAACTGGCATGGAAGCCCCCAATGCCCTGCCTACTAGTGAACTTGTTCCTGAGCACAGGTAAGTCATGCCAGGGACCTCCCTCCAATAACTGATGTTCTGTAGTGGGTTGGGGTTCTGTATGCACAGGTGGAAATGAGTCTACTTGGCACAGATCAGTGTTGCCTCATTTCTTCCTTATAACAGCTCTGTGAGGCAAATGTTTTCCCCATGAAAAGACTGAGTCTAAGCAAGTGTATCTGCAATAATTGCCAGTTTTATTCCTCTGGCTAAGAGATCCAGAGGTAGTTTGAGGTTTACATATTTCTTTTAGTTATTCCATCAAGAATTTAGGTGCCCCCATTGCCCTTATAAGCTGGTTGCAAATTATTTGACTCTTACTTATAAAACTTTTATTCTTTTTGTGTGTGTGACATGTGTTCATGAAAAAAATACATATAAGCAAAAAGAAAAAAGCTCACGCTACACAGAAATAAGCAGTTAAGTTTTTGATATATGTATGTATGTATACACACGCACGCACACACACAATTTGGGATTTAATCCTACATATGTGAGCTGATACTAAATATACTGCTTTGTAACCGGTTATGTTTTACTTTACAATATAGAATGAATATATTTTCATGCATATGTGTGAAACTTTCCAATTGAAAAACAGACCTGGAGAATGGGTCAAAATACAAAATCCAGTGAGATGCTGGTAACAAGGGAACTACCTAAAAAAAATTCCACCAGATGATTAAAATAAAACGAAAGTCAAAGATACATCAGAAAACGCTAACAGAAAGCAGGGGCCAGATTTAATATCAGACAAAAAAAGTCAAGGCCTAAAGCACACAGGATAAGGGCGGCTGCGTGAATGTCTTTGCTTCCAATGCATCATCACAAACTTGTTTCTTACTCTTCTTATCTCTTCCCTAAGCCTTTCCAACTCATCTACTCCTCTTATCATTTCTTCAGGGTCCAAATGCCTCACAGGAGTGTCCTCTTTAAACCCCTGGCCAGGTTGGGTCAGCCCTCCTCTAAGATTTCCTTCTGCTTCCTGGCTTACACCTTCTTCGGAAGGTTGAGGATTTCCTTCTGCCTCCTGTGGTACAGCTTCTGAAGGGCGGCCTGCCTCTGCCTTTGGCATGTTCTGTGGTTTTCCTTCATTTTCTTCACAAGACTTTTGCATGTTGAGTATTTTTCTGTTATTTCTTTTGAATAAATTAATTCTAGAAAACAAGGAAACAAAACTAGATGCCAGACAAATAGACCAGCCATAGTATGGGTTCCCATAGCGACTGGTCTCTTCTCTTTCAGGTCCCTAATATGTCTAAATTTTCCAACTAGAGAAGCCTAGGTCCTCAGGCTCAGAACTCCCCTGACTCCACCCCTTCCTCCACCTTCCTTCCCTCCCCGTTTCGCTCCAGCTCCATCTTCCCTTCTCCCGCTCCAGCCCACCATTTCCCAGCAGGCCCTGCTTACAGGCCTCTCCTAGCACACAAACGGAAGCAGCGCAGAAGCAATTAACCCTCTCCTTAGAGGCCTGTCTCCAATATTCCCGCCCTCCTGGGCTTTCCCAAGAGGTTCCAAACTCCCGCCACTCACCTGAGACCGGGTGGTGCAGTATCTGGCCTCCCCTCCCCCTTCCCGGTTTCTCCAACCTCCCCCGCCCCCGCCCCATTTCCGCTGCAGGCTCTGCAAAGGCCTCCGGCGCTTAATCCGGATGGGGAGAGGCTGTGGCGACCCCAGGATCTGCTTTGCTGTCATCCACACTCCCACTCCCGTCCCCACCCGAAGGGACCTGAGGCAACCTTACACTGACCTGCAGGGATCCAGGGGATTTTCCTGCCTCTTCCCTCACTCGATCTGTGTCGCGTCCAAAGACCAAGAGTCCTGCAGAAGGACAGAAGTGCTTGCTGAGCAGGCCAGTACCTGAATCTCGGATCCTTTTCACGATTCTAGGCCTTGTTCATCTAAAGTTGTCCTCTCCTTCCTTTTAAGGCAACCCCGCCCTCCCTCCCCGGTGCCCCCGGCTCCCTGCAGGCAGGGAGTGGAAGGCACATGTTATTTCCCAAATTGTTTCTGTTTGTCTAGGAACCCTCAATTGGTTAGCATTCTGCCTTTCCTCCCCCATCCCCCACCCCCACCAAAAAGCCCCAAATCTCCTGCAAAAAAATGGGAGTTTGGCGGACGGTAATGTCAGGAAAACAGTGGCGACCCTGATTAGCTTTTGCTCTCTGGTTCCTAGACCTCAGGATCCCCAAGGCGGCGCCCGCTTTTATACTGACCTGAAAGGATCCGGGGCACTTTTCTCCTTCTCCAGCAATACGTAGCAGCTACTGGGAAACAGGCCCTGGACTAGAAGGACTTCTGCACACGTAGACTCCTGGTCACGTGAGGGTCGCGTCATCAATGAGCTCCAGTCTTCAGTTACTCCTCCCATTTAACACTGCAGTCCGCCCCCTGCATTCCCTCCAGTTGATACTGTCAATCTTTTTTCGTATTTGCCAATCACAGACAATAGAACTGGTATCTTACTCTTGCAGTTGCTATTCGCCCTTCTTGGATTGCCAGGGAGGATCAGCTTTTAGGGGTTAATCGACCATTTCTCCTTCGTTTGGGAATTATCTCTTTCTCTCTCCTGCTTCAAATTCGCCCACCTCCTCTCCTCCGGGAAGACCTACAGTCCACCATTTCCCCTGGAGTCCTAACTAGCATTAAAACGGGCGAAGGTGGTAGATGGGGGAAGGTGGTGGGTAGAGGCGGCAGGAAAAGAATGTAGGAGTGAGAGTGTGGGATTTTTTTTACGACTTCTTTTGAATCTTTTTTTTTTTAATTTTTTTTTCAACGTTTTAATTTATTTTTGGGACAGAGAGAGACAGAGCATGAACGGGGGAGGGGCAGAGAGAGAGGGAGACACAGAATCGGAAACAGGCTCCAGGCTCTGAGCCATCAGCGCAGAGCCTGACGCGGGGCTCGAACTCACGGACCGCGAGATCGTGACCTGGCTGAAGTCGGACGCTTAACCGACTGCGCCACCCAGGCGCCCCTTCTTTTGAATCTTTTAATGTTTTAAGTATGATATTAAATGATCATGATATTTTACAATGATACTTAAAAAAGATGCCTCATAGTCGATATTTGACACAATATGGAGGACAAGAGAGTTTTATCAATTTTTAAGACTTCGGAAAAATTTCGTAATGGCTACAAATAAAATGACAGTTCGCACAATATATTGATATGTTAGGAGAAAAAAATCTTATTAAAAGTGCACCTTTAAAAAAAAATGGCTCCCAGATTAATCTGTGGAAAGAAGCCCAGTTTTCTCTTGTTAACAATTTTATATAAATAATCAACTATTTTCTCTCTCTGGCTGAACTCAAGTTATCAAGTGTTAGAAGCCTGACTTTTTCATTGATGACTGATGGATGAATTCCGCTTGGGTTTCAAATAGACTTCAGACAGACCTCTTCTGTTCTCTAGGATCTGGTGCCTTGTTAATCAGATGAGTCCACAGAAAAGCCAGCTTTCCTCAGAGTGAACTTTATTTTGGAACTCAAATAGCTTTCATACACTCAAACATTCAGAAAGGAGAGAGTTCCCTATATCTCACCATTTGGTCCCCTATATCTCACCATTTGGTGTGAGGCTTATTAGGTAGAATTTTCATTCATTCATAGCACTCTTAAGATATTCTGGTATCACTCACTTTGTTCCATTCAAAAAGAGAACTATCAACATGCATAATTGTTATGATCAGAAGCAGAGAGAACATCAGTGCTGCAAAAAAATATTAGTTAAAAGTGGAAAATGATACCCTAACAACTCATAATCTTGAGTACTTGAAGGTGTGTTGTTGCCAGAAATGGTATTCTGGCTAATGGAGTCAGCTGGGGAGTCAGGGAAAGGAGGAAGTAAGGAATCTTTTGCCTAGGATGGTCACAGGGGGATGAGGCAGCCAACAACAAAGCCTGCCATGGGAAAGAAAAGGTTCAAAAAATAAATATTTTTTTCAGGCTTAATGCTTCATAATTTATATTTAAGCATGAATAATTTATTCCACAGTTGAGGGATACATTTTCTATTATTCAAGAGAGAGTTTTCAATGTAAATATAGACAGTGAATTATAAAGATGTAATCATTAACTACGACCAAATGTTTCCATTCTTTCACATGTTAAATGTGTTTATTTATTTTAAATTTTTTTTTCAACGTTTATTTATTTTTGGGACAGAGAGAGACAGAGCATGAACGGGGGAGGGGCAGAGAGAGAGGGAGACACAGAATCGGAAACAGGCTCCAGGCTCTGAGCCATCAGCCCAGAGCCTGACGCGGGGCTCGAACTCACGGACCGTGAGATCGTGACCTGGCTGAAGTCGGACGCTCAACCGACTGCGCCACCCAGGCGCCCCTGTTTATTTATTTTAGAGAGAGCGAGAGAGACAGAGTGTGAGCAGGGGAGGGACAGAGAGAGGGAGACACAGAATCCGAAGCAGGCTCCAGGCTCTGAGCTGTCAGCACAGAGCCCAACACACCCACAAACCAAATTGTGAGATCATGACCTGAGCCAAAGTCCAAAGCTTAAACCGACTGAGACACCCTGGTGCCCCATCAGATGTTACATTTAATGGGGGACAACTCAGATTTTTAAAAAAAATATTATCATGCAATAAAATTGGCCCCTTTTGTGTGGATAGTTCTATGAAGTGTAACAAAAGTATAGATTTATGTAATCATCACCACAACCAGGATACAGTTCAGTCACCCCTCCAAAAAACTCCCTTATGCTACCCTTTTGTAGTCATATCTTACCCCCATCCTTGAACTCTGGCAACCACTGGTCTATTCCCAATTCCTATAGTTTTGTCTTTTGCAAAATGTTATATAAAAGAAATCTACAATATATCACATTTAGAGACAGGCTTCTTTTACTCAGCAAAATGACCTGGAAAGTCATTTAAGCTATTTCATGTAGCACTGATAGTTCATTCTTTTCTTTTTGCTGAGTAACTTTCTGTTATATGGATGTAACAGTTTATTTGTCCATTTACCTGCAGAACATTTAAGTTGTTCCTAGTTTTGACTAATTATGAAGGGAGTTCCTATAAACATTTGTGTATAGGTTTAGGACATTATTGCCTCACGCCTGACTGTTAAGGGAACTCCTTCTCTGACCTATCTGCTTTCAGTGCCTCCTTCTCCCTTTCCAATTTACCTAGCACATTATCATCAAATTCAACTTTACTCTTCCTTATTTTTAGCTTGTTATTCTCCTGCTCGAAAGTCCTGGATGGCAACCCCACCATCAGAGAAATAAATCCTACTTTCCTCATCCTGACATTCAACATTGATCAGAATTGATTCTCAGGACCCATGTTCACAGCCTTGTCATACACTTCTCTACTGCATCAAAAGGAACTCTCATTCACTGTGCCCCAAGTATGCCTTCTTCTGTCTTTGTCACCAACATGCCATTTTCTTCCTCCTGATTGCCCTCTACTTCCTCCTAAATCCTGGTCCTGCTCATTCTTAGGAGCCCAGACTTCATCACCCAGCCTCTAAAGCCACCACAACTGGAAGTGATCTCTCCCTTCCCTCTCTATTCTACATACAGGGTTTGTACCTCTTATATTGCCCTTAGTGAAAGTTGCCTTGTACCTTTGCACTTTTCTGTGTATTTGGAGGGAAGGCATATCTAATCAGGCAGATCGTCAGATGTAGGTTGAAGATGGGGAGTGGGGGGGAGTGTCAGGCTTCAGGTTACATGCTGCTTGAGTGGCTCTTATAATTTTCAACGGTGCATCTCCCAAAAAACTCAGAGTTTCAGAAGGAGCTGTTTGCAGATTGACTCACAGATGAACCTTCTTTCTGTCTGCACAAAAAAATGGAGCAGAAGTTTCATTGTCTCCTCCTCTGCTTATTCTCCTTACATGTAGTCTCAGCAACTTTGACACCATTTTTAAGGAAATATCGATAGAAAATATTGACCCTGTTTTCCTAAATACTGACGAGAGAGATCAGACACTCACTGGTGTACACTGACAGGAAGATCATACAGGTGTTTACCTTTACTCTTATCCCTGAGCAATTTCAGTGCATCAATATAACACGTAGCTACCTTCAAAATTAAATTAATCACAGTAGCTTTTAGATATAAGTAGATTTTTGAAACCAATATTACACTATATGTTAAATAACTAGAATCTAAATAAAAATTTGAAATAGAAAAATAAATATAAGTAGATACTTGAAGATAACAGCATTATATTAAAGTGAAAACTATTTTTAAAAAGGAATGAAAAATGTGCACATATTAATTTAACAATAAAGATGTGAGTTCTAGAAAGTAGATACCCTGAGCTTCTGACCTAATCAATGTCCTGTTTTCATGTACCAAGAGGACACTAGGGATGGCTCCAAAGCCCAAAGTCCTCCAAATGGTGTGAGGGCAGAAGAAAGGAAGGTAGCATTTTACCAACCTGGAGCTCTTGTACAAGACTGTGATATCCAGAATATTGTTTTCTGTGTTCCCTTTATTTATGTTTTTAATGTTTATTTGAGAGAGAGAGAGAGCATTAGTGGGGGTGGGGGGGGGGAAGAGAGACAGAGGGAGAGAGAGAGAGAGAGAGAGAGAGAGAGACTCCCAAGCGGGCTCCTCACTGTCAGGCTGTCAGTGCAGAGCCCAATGCATGGCTGGATCTGAACCATGGGATCATGACCTGAGCCAAAATCAAGAGTTGGATGCTTAACTGTCTGAGCCACCCAGGTGCCCCTCTGTGTTCCCTTTAGAAGTCACTTCCATAGTTTTTTGTTCTGAATCTCTATATTCAGGAACTCCTCCTGCATGTTTCTTTTTCATTGTTGTTTCAAAGCTCATCCCATAGAAGAGCTTGAGACAGCTATTCCTCTCCTTCACTTCTCTAGCACACTCTGTATGGATTGAAAGCATCCTTCCCAGCATGGCAAAATCTGCTCTACATCCAAAGATTTGGCTGCATAATGTAGATTCAAGTGGCCACCATATGAGATGATTCACCCCTTCAGAGCACAAGCAGACATAATACATTGGGTCTTTGTTCTACTGAGAGTAGCCCACTCATGTTCTGTTAAGTGAAACACAGAAAACATGATTTCCAATTAGACTGTATCTGTTTCAGAAAGTAAACCCTTCTACCATCCCTCCATACTATATTCCCTGACATTTGGAAATTTGGCATGGATATGTTTCAAAAGTTTCACAAACTACTCAGAATAGCCATTGGCCATGTTCAAGGAAATGAACCTATCTTGAAGCACAACTTTTCATCTCTGCCAGATAATTCTGCCTGCTTCCTGAACTCACAGCTAAATGCTGCACACATTGTGGATTATTGTGGCAAAGAGTTTCTGGTTATCAGGGCATAATGCTTATGAA